TGATTGCGCTAAAACCATCTCTTCATCTGGCTGTCATTGTTGAGACGTCGTCTTTTCTTTTCGAACCGGTGTTTTTTCCATTTCCTCGTCTTTTGGGTTGGATGATTCGGTTTGAGTTTCCCGAACAATCTGGAGTTCGGGCTCGAATTTGGTTTCCCGAACAAATTTGACTTCCATGAACATATTCAAGGAGAGGGGGGATTTTTGAAACATGGTTAGACTAAGAGGTTGCATCGTCTAATATTGTTGTGGTATTTGTTGGTATTAAAATTGTTGGGCTTCGGGTTGGGGTCGAGGTGAAATCATAGACATCAATTTGAGGTCAGTAAACGAATGACTCCAACGAAGGATCATTTGCACGCGATTTGCTACGAATGGTAAATTGAGGGTTGTTTGGATTCATTTTCGGAATGCACGGGTTTGAAATCGGGTATGAATTGAAAATGGTTTATGTTTGAAATATATGATTAATAGTTATGTATTTATAGTGTTTTTTGAAGAAAAAAATAGATTTCTAGTCGTTTGCCGATAGCCAAAAAAACGGTAAAAAAACTTTGAATTTGAGTGTTGTGAAAACATCTCATGCGGGACTCATACCATATTTTTTTTATGGGTTGGAGCGTTGTTTACTAGCACACCCTGGTGACACGTCACATACCGCGGTGTGCGGTAGGTGGCATGCAACTAATGACAAAGTTAAAGAAAAAAAATCATATTTTTCACAGATGTTCCGTCGCCCACTTTCCATCTCCTATAATATCACAAATTGTATCGTGTCTTTTTTTATTATTGAAATTCCATGAAAGAATTTTGAGTTTTCATCACCTTTGATCCTCAAATGGATTTTATCATTTTGAGCTAAATTAAAAGTGCACAAAAACCCGTTTTAAACCCGTTCCAGTAAAAAAAATGTTTTCTTTAAACTGGCATAGTAAAACCGTTTTCAATTATAATCGGTTCATATTTTTTAGAAATTAATTTAAAAAAAATGGTTTTCTGAATTAAAAACCAGTTCGGTTTGGTCTTTTAGAAAAATCGGTAAAGCTTTTCAATTTAATAAAAAAAACGTTTTCTTTAAACAGGTTTCGATTAATAATTAGTTCGGTTTTTTTAGAAATGGAAATTTGATAATAATAAAAAAAAAATGGCTTTTCGATTTAAAAACCAGTTCTCTTTTAGAAAAATCCCTAAAGTTTTTTTGATTTAATAAAAAAGCTAGTTCCTAACTGCCAGTTCGGTTAGGTTTTAACTTATTTCTTCCTATTCGCTTTGCGTACCACTAAGCTATATACATAACTTCAAGCATTATATATCCACCAATGCCTTAATACATGTAATTCTAGAGTGACTCCAGCTTCGCCCTTGAATTTCCATTTTTTGGTTCTCAATTCTTTGAATTTTCATTTTTCAGTTAGAGTCGGTTCGGTTAAATTGCACAACCGACCTCATCCCTAATGTAAACATATGAAATTTAAACCTTCATATTATATCTTTTTATTTGTTACTTTTAAATGGGTTAGTTTAACTGTTTTGACCTCTCAGTTGTTTAAGTTAAAGCACGCTATGGGATGGTTTTTCCACTAACAATTTTCATGTGACCCAACATCATTTTGAGACAAGAACAGTGAAGGAGTTAAGCTTTATGTGGACCCCAAATCTTATATTACATACACCAATAATTTGGATTTGGATGTCCCATGTATAAAGGAATCCTTATCTACTTATAATTTTGCGTTTTTTTTTGTACAAATGTCTTATGACGGCAAGTTTTATGTCATTAAAAAATAAAAATAAAAATTGGGCTTCATCCCTTGTATTATTTACTCAAGCCGAACAGGCTCCGTTACTATACTTTTGAGTTTGGAATATCCAAATATACGAACATCAAAGTACTTTGGTGATATCTCATTCGACAATACGACTTGTTACTACTAAAGCTATATATTTTCTTGAAATGTCAGGACTTTTGAAATATATATTAAGTAAAAAATGAACCGTGAATTTTAACTTATTTCAAACTATTTGAATAGATATGAAAATCAAAATCAGATTAGATTTACTTGATTCGCATCAGATGAAATCGGTTCTTAAAAATGACCAAACTAAAAGATAAACTATACAAATCTAAGAAGAAGCTGATCCATAATGACAAGCTGATGAAAGTTCAGGGGCTAAAATGAACAACTAATATCAACAGGATAAAGAAAAAAGAAAGACTATTGGCTGACAAAAGGATCTGGCTCCTGCTCCTCTTTTCGATGCCTATTGAATAAGACAACTCTCCATATCCGCAGATAAAATTCTCAGATCAACTCCGGCGACGAACGGGAACAGTAATTGGCCGAAAATATCCTCCGAAATTTTGGCGGGAAAATGTCTGGGAAAGGAGCAAAAGGTTTGCTAACGGGGAAAACAAACGTATTATCCAACAAGGACAAAGACAAGAAGAAGCCGACGACTCGCTCTTCACGCGCCGGTCTCCAGGTTTCTTCTCCTTTCCTCAATCTCCGATTCACCGGCGAACGGAAACGGAGAATCGGAGAGAAGACTGTGTTGACTTTAGTCAGATCTGATAAATGATTAAACGAATGGAGTTTGTTTAATTAGATTGTTATGCGATTTGTGCAGTTTCCGGTGGGTCGAGTTCACCGGCTTCTGAAGACGAGAGTGGCTGCTAACGGAAGAGTCGGAGCAACGGCAGCTGTTTACACGGCGGCTATACTAGAGTATCTGACGGCGGAGGTGCTCGAGTTAGCCGGTAACGCAAGCAAGGATTTGAAAGTGAAACGTATAACACCAAGACATTTACAGCTTGCGATAAGAGGAGATGAAGAACTTGACACGCTTATAAAAGGAACGATTGCTGGTGGTGGAGTTATCCCTCACATTCACAAGTCACTCATCAACAAATCCTCCAAAGAGTAAAAAACTAAAACAATATATCATAGTTGATAGCTTGAAAAGATGGAAATTCTATCGATCTCTTGTGTTTGTGGTGATTTGGAATTTTTACATATTTAGTCCTTGTGGTTGGAAAGTTGTGTTTTAAGGTCGGCAATTTCTTTTCCTTGATGCTGGAAGGATAGAAGGGTATATACATATATAAGAAAATAAGAAAATTTACTATTTATTAAATGTATAGAGAATATAGAGAATGAAATGTGATGGTTACCTCGTATAATCCATCCCAACAGAATTTCCACCTCATTTGCAGTGTGCACCACTCGAGTGCCATCTCAAAATCAATGGTATTTGGCTGTGAAAAGTGGGATGTGGAAACTGCGTTTCTCTACACACAAAAAAAGGAAGGCTGATGATTCTAGATTTATCTAGAAAGATACTAGAAATCTTTAGCAAAAAAGCTAAAAGCTCTTGGATTAATAGGGTAAAGTAAAAGAAGCTTAAAATTACCATATCCATAGACCGCATTTGTTTCATGGTTTTGAATGTTAAATGACCAAAGTACCTTGATTTTTTACCTTTCTCCTTCAATGAAGGTCTACTACCAACAATGGGTCTGAAATTGTCATTTGTCAACCCAAAACTTGTTACCAAAATTGAAAATGTAAATAATAATTAAATCAACATGATGAGTAGAGTCTACCTTAGATCTCCAAGCATTAGACATCTGGTTTTTAACTCAGAAATAGCAAAATCTGCTTCATCTTTTGAATTAAATATCACAAGAGCTTGTCCTAATCCAAAAACATAAATAAAACAATTAACAAAGCACAAATATTGTCTTGCATGTATCACAGTGATATACCATTGTGTGGGCTTGAATACGCGTTACACTGTATCATCTTTGCACTAGCCTTTTTATGAAAAGCATCCAAAACAATATCCTGATTTTAAAAAATGGAAAATTTGGGAATGATAAATTATTAAATTACCATATGAAAGTATGAACAGAGTATAGTTTTAAAATATTAACATGCCTCTACTTCTAATGATGTAAGGGATGGATCTAGATTCTCTAGTAATACAAGGGAGCCTGTTTCATTAGCTATCTGCATCCTTTCCTCCCATGGCTGATCAAAAGAAGGAAAATATTTTCACTTATTCAATTTAGATTTATGCCTCTTTTTGTAACATTTTTCAGTTCATATTACTTCATATTGCAGAAAAAATCCATGGTGTGTGACAAATCTTATAAAAAAAGTGTAGATAAGTAGAAGATAACTCACTTGTTCCTTGAACCAATTGCTTGAATCCTGCATGCATATGGATATGTAGTATCTAAGTCTTCAAATTTAATGAATTCAAAATAAGAATGATTCATACGCCAAAGTAAGAAAACAAGAGCATTTATATAATATTTAAATGATTTACCAATTTTGGTCTTTTAGTGGACTTATCAGGTTTAACTTTAGAGTCTTGAAGCTTCCTTTTGTTCAAGTGGTATTCACTAGTTGATGAGTTTGTTAGCCTACCAAGATTTGAACGAGGAACCCTAAAATCTGTAAAAATAGGTCAAGTGTAAGTGATTAAAAAAAGATTATTGGATTAAAAAATAAACTTTTATTAATATTACCAGATACTTCATCTTTTACTGCAGTAGAACAGTGACCTGTTTCAAATTTGGAAGATGAATTTGATTTCCCTGAAACTTTGGAGTTCCAATTGGATTTTGGAGGAGTGCCAATTTCCAAATGTTTTCTCGGATTAAAGAAGAATCCAACTGAATCCATATTGGAACAAAAAAGATTCAGGACATTTAGAAAGTATTAAGTTATATCACATGAACATGTTTAGAAAGTATTAAGTTATCACAATTCACACAAACCTTCAACTCCAGCTATCTTATCGGGAAATCTTTCTGATAATCTTAATTTTTCAACATCAAATGTCTTGTAAAATACATAATCACACATTTCCACTTCTTCAATAGATGGTTGAGGATTCCTCTTGTCCTTTGATGTGCATACAACATCGCATTTCCCTGCTATTGTTTCCTAGAAAGAGATAGTTGTAAATTAGAAAGATAACAAAAGGCCAAAAGGGCATATTTGGAAGAGTTTAAAAATGATGTTTGATTACCAAAGGGTTGACATTAAAGAGACCTCGACCTACACCTGAAGCCAAGAATAATTCATTGTTGAGTGTTTGAGTGCCTCTTAAATACTTTCGAACATGTGTGGGATGAAAATACCAGACAACTTTCACTTTCTTCTCAAGATGTTTTGTCTCATATATCTCTGTAAGTTTACCAATATAGGGCTCTGGTTGACCTTCACACCATATGTATACAGAATCATAAAGGAAGTAGTCTACACCATCGTAGGTAAATGATCTATAATATTGCCTATCATGCTTCTTTCCATTATTTTGCTCCTTTTGCCCCCATTTGAACTGGATATTCTCAGAAGATGCATTTGCCTTTCCTTTAATATGATCTGACATAACTGTAGATTACAAATTAATGGAAGTATATTACATATCTGGAAACTGTAATATCCAGAAGCAAAACACCAAAGAGAACCAACAACAAGTCAACAACCTGCTCCGATGGAAGAAAGTCCTGAAATGAGAATTCAATCACGAACGACCTTATTTACTAGCATCATCAACTGCTTCTTTCATTATCTACAAAAAAAAAAAACGCTGCGTAGTTAATTGGATATGAAAAATGACGATTATTCAAGCAAAACGGGAGAAAAATCACACAGAAGATAAAAAACCAGCACTGATATGATACAACGATGAAAACCACTACTAGAAACCCTAGAGACTGAAATAAATTCAAAATCTACAGTGAAACAAACGCTTGAGCATAAATAAATGCTGCATCGCGAGGAAAACTCAAATCACATTCACCACATGTTCGCGAGAGAAACCACAAGAAACATAACAAGAACAAAGACCCTACTATAGACCCTAGATATCTGTATCGACGGATTATAAAATTAAAATCTAGTGTGAGGAAACAGTTAGATATGCGTAATCACAAACAAATGCATAAGAAATAGACTGATCAATAACCTTGCCAGTTCGAACTCGGCGTTCGGAAATTTAAAATCTAGTCTGAGAAAACAGATGGTAGATGTTTGATCATATACACAAATGCATCAGAAAAAATAACCTTACCAGTTTCGAACTCGTCGTTCGGAAAATGGTGATCATTAACAGAGACACAGTGAGATTGCTATGGCGGAAACAGCAAAAAGTAAAATGTTTATCGGATAACTTTGAGGGGAGAGGAGCAAAGGCTACGAGGCTATGGCGTAAACAGTAAAAGATAAATGAATGCTAATATGCGCCAGGGAGGGATGAGAACCAAAGGCTACGAGGCTATGGAATCGAACAGAATCGCCGCCGTACACTCTTTCACAAAATTGCGTGACCATGCATTGTCTTCCCAGGGTGAAAGGATGGTGCTGTCAGCCTGTCATGTAGAAGGGATTTTAGTGAAATAAAATATTTGAGGCGCCATAAAATCCAAAGTCGTTAAACACATAAAAGGGTCAAAACCACTATTATATTTTTTAAAAGGGTTGGCTAACAAGACATTTTATTTTACCATTTAGACAACCCTAATTAATGTTTGAAATATTTTTATTGGTTGAAATTGCATTGTTTTCCGAAAAAGATGATTACAAGAAGTTGATTATAGGTTGATTTTTTATAAAAATGATTATAGGGTGTCTAAGGAGTGTCTTATTAACATCATCCTTTTTAAACCCAAATTACAAGACAGACTTTTATCTATATTTTATATTTTTTAATTAACTTTGTAATTCCATATTTTAGGACATTTTTTATATCTTTTATTTTATAATATATTTTCAAAGATTAAATAATTTTAACACTATATATTTTCAATTTATACCATTCTTTATTTTAAAAAAAATTACTTTAAATCCTTATTTGTATATTGATATTTCAACTTTTTCACACATATATAAATACACTAGGTTAAAACCCGTGGAACCCACGGGTGCTGTTTTTGAATTGAATTTAAAAATTAATTATTTAATAAAATATTATATCAATAATTCTGATAACTTATAAATTGTAATATTGAATATTTAAATAATTTTTTTTATTGGTAATTATTTAATTACTAACTAAATAGGAAGTATTTAATTAGAAATGAAGATTTTTGAAAACTATTTTTTTTTATTCATCATTCTAATTGGACATATGCAGATTGATTGATTTGTCTTAATTGTTAATTGCGATATATCAAGTAGATGAAGTAAGATCGATTGTTTTGAAATGCGATGTCAAATCTGTTGAAGGGTGTAATGATTATTGTTTTCGAATGGTATGTGTTCGATTGGTTATTGGGTTTGTATACAGGGATCGATTTTAAACGGAGGTTAAAGATTGTGGGAACGAATAACTGTTAAATTCGATGTTTTCTGGAACGAAGCCTTGGTTATTAAATGAATCATACGAAGGATCTGTTATTTGATTTTGGAATTGGGGCGAATAATCAAACGATTTGGAGTTGCGAATTTGATTTCGAAAAGCCAATCAGTTGGGTTCACATATGAAAACAGATAAGTTTTGATTTTGGATTCGCAATTGGGTTAATTGGGTTATTGATTGAGGGACGATTCGTGAAGAAAAATGCGAAGTCAAGAAGGACTGTGAAATGTGATTTGTTCAATATTGGAGTCAAATGCAGTTCACGTGTAAAAGCAAAAATGTTCGCATTTGGTAATACAAATCAAAATTGGGTTTCGCATATGAGGTTGTATGGATTGGGGTTAAAGATGCGAAGGTGATTATGGTTAATATTAATTTCGCATTTGGTGAGACAAACAACTCAAATGCGAATGAACTAAAAAAAAATGACTGGAACATGCGAAGAAAGAGGGTGAATGAAGAATGCGAATTTTACAGTAGAATGCGAATTGGGGAAGAAAGCTAAGAATTTCGCATTTTTATTATACAAATTGATTGATTGATTGATTTGTCTTAATTGTTAATTGCGATATATGAAATACTTATCAAGTTAGGGGCAATATATTTTATTTGAGTTATAACCAAAATCAACTAATAAGATTTAAATGGTAACAAATGAAAAAAAGTAGGATTCATCAATATGATGAAAAAAATTATTAAGTAAACAGCCGTTAAAGGGAATGTTCTATTCTAAAAAATTACATAAAACATGTCTAATATTGAATGATGAATAAAAAATATATCAAATACAACAAACCTCCTCATCCATGATGATCATTTCAATGGAACAAACTTTATTATTTCTGACAAAGTTCCAAATTTTAAGCACCCGAACCTTGATATGCGATTTTTCATCTATCTGGTCAATGTTATTTAGGTAAACCTTATTTCCTATTTCCATTTTCTGCAATAAATTTAATCATTATAGAATTATAAGGAAAATTAGCAACCTTTTAAAATGTACGGAACATCCTAACCAATAAGTAAAACAGAAAAATTATAAATCAACACATGACAATAACAACTGACTTAATGTACTCATAAATTTTTAAATTGAATAATTCATTTTATAATAAAATGGAATACAAACAAAAACAAATAATTCATATGAAATAATGTTTTAGATTGAATAAAAGTTTATATAATAAGATGGAACACAAATATATAATAAACATGAAAACGACAATTATACGGAAAATGCCCCTGCAACATACTAACACTAACAGATAACATAACAATGAGTAAAACAGAAAAATTAAAAATCAACACATGACAATAACAACTGACTTAATGTACTCATAAATTTTAAAATTCTAAATTTTTTTGAGATTGTATTTAGATAAAAACAAACAAATTTTAAAATTTCATACCATAAAAAAAAGTTACTGTGCACATCTGAAAAAGACTATTTTTAATTTTTTTTAAAGAAAATGAACTTGTAATGTTCATTAGTTTTTCGTCTTTTAAACTGAAAAGGTAGAAGAAGTAGACGATTAAGAAGAATTACAAAAAAGAAGAAGAATAGAAATCATACAATGAGAACGTGATAGATACAGATAAATAAGAACATGGAGGAAATAGAATATTGATAATTCTGATTTTTGAATACACTAACCTGATATTTAATTCTTGAAGCGTTGCAGAATAACAAAGAATGAAGAAGAATACGTTTGTTGTGGTTTCTATGGAGCAGAATTGTTATGGAGCAGAATGGTAAAAACAAAATAACCGTATAAATGATATTTACGTTTGCTAAAAAATACTGCAGATTTTTAGGGATTTAATGATTGCAATATATTGAATTTGCAATCAAAATAAACAAACTTTCAAATTTAATCGTGATTTTCGAATCTGATCATTCATTAACATATTTTTTCAAATTATTTCCATAATCTTTATTCATTTAAAATTAATGCATGAATATTTTGAATGCAGTTGACAGCTAAAATTTCCTGATATATTGCATCAGTTTGAACTTTTATTCAATTTTCGGATTCAATGGCATTTACGTAAATATAGAAGAAAAAATGTGCGGGAAAACTCTATTTTGGGGGGCTGGGAGAATGCCACGTGGCCGAGTTCTACTTATTTATTAGAATTAGGAAATGTAAATATATTGAGTTTATACCCTTCTTTATTCTAAAAGATAATAACACTCCTCGTACTTCCATTTCGTATTTCGTGCAAAACTAATAACTATATTTAGATTTATGGTCCTTTAACTTATCCTACATTTACAATAAATACATTATCTTTATTTTACTGCGGTCTAAATGAATACCACTACAATTAAATCAAAATAATATAAATATATTTACATTTATGATCCTTTAAATTACCCTACATTTACAATAAATATTTTATCTTTATTTTAGTGCGGTGTAAATGAATACCGATTAACTATCAAATCAAAATAATATAACTATATTTACATGTATGGTCATTTAACTTATCTTACATTTAGAATAAATACATTATCTTTATTTTAGTACCGTGTAAATAAATATCACTATAATCAAATCAAAATAATATAACTATACTTACATTTATGGTCCGTTATCTTACCATATATTTACAATAAATATCTTATTTTCATTTTACTGCGGTCTAAATGAATGCCGATTAGGATCAAATGAAAATAATATAACTATATTTACATTTATGGTCCTTTAACTTACCATATAATTTATATGGTATTCTTTTTCATGCCTAAAGTATTACTATAAATGAATGTGTCCCAAACTTCATTTTCATTATACGATAGTTTGAAAAAACGATAGACTAAGTAAAAGAAAAATGTCTTTGCTAGAATATTTGTCATCGTTTGATGAGTTAAATTACGAGGTATGTTCGTTTATTATTATTCATATATTTATGTTTTTATATATTACATATTTATATTTGTATGTATTGATTAGGCTAATGATATTTACACAAACAATGCATTTTAAGATGACGAGAATGAAAATACTAATTTTATCAGTGACACATCAGAATTTGAAACTACCATGGTATAAAGTTTTAGATTTATTAATATTATTATCAATTAATAAGTTTACTTGTATCTAATCAAAAAAAATATTTTTTTAGGTATTTAATTCTCGTCAGCAACTAATAGACTGGGTGCAAAATACGGGGCGTGGACTTGGTTACGTTATTGTAATAAAAATATCTATTGCTAACTTAAATATTTTTTTTCTATGTGATCACAGTGGTACATTAAAAAAATATGAAAAAATTAAAAAAAAAATCCACCAAATTACCGGTACCAAAAAAATTAACTGTCTATTTGCACTAAAAGAAAAATATTCATCAGAATATAATTGTTGGTCATTAAAAGTTATATGTGAAATGCATAATTACGAGCCCTCCTTATATTTAAGAAGGTCACCCATATCCAATGCGTCTTTCTGAAAATGAAACCCGATTAGTGGAAGATTTGATAAGAAAAAATATGAAACCAAAAAATATATTATCTACATTAAAGAAAGAAAATGTAGAAAATTTATCCATTCTTCCAACTATATATAATGCACGCCAAAAATTCAAGATGAAGGAGAATAGTGGCAAAACTCAAATGCAAGTTGTTATGTCTTTCTTAGCTGAGAATATCTATATCTACTACAGTCGTGTCGATAAGTCAACCAACAAGCTTTAAGATTTGTTTTTTGCTCACCAAAGATCATTGGAGATGTGGCGTACATCCACACATGTCATGTTGATAGATGTGACATACAAAACAAATAGATACGAGATTCCCCTCCATAAAATAGTCGGTTGAACTCTAACTAATCAGACCTTTTGCTTAGCATTTGTCTACCTGCATAAGGAAACAGAATCCAACTACACTTGGGCACTAAAGTGTTTAAAATCAACAATAGATAGTTGCAAGTTTCCCATGCAGGTCGACATTAACAATGGTCATGATGATGCCTTGGTTAATACACAAAACAACCAAATGGAAAATGAGATTAGAGAAACACGAACTAAAACCCAACTGATGCGTTTCAACGACTTTGTGGTAAAGCTGCCCTCGTTAGTAAGCCACCCGCGACCCGCAACCAATCAAGGCACCTCAACGGTACATCCTATTTCCAATTATGTCAGTTATGATATTTTTTTCAAAATCTCACAAGGCTTTCTTAGCAGCCATCAATTCACATGTTGAGCCAAAATGATTTAATCAAGCAGTACAGGATGAAAGATGGAAAGAAGCGATGAAGAAAGAGATCCAAGCTCTCGAGCAAAATGGGACATAGACTCTCGAACATCTGCCAAAAGGAAAACGAGCCATTGACTCCAAGTGGGTTTACAAAATCAAATACAAGCCGAATGGAGAAGTGGAACGTTATAAAGCTCGTCTCGTGGCAAATGGGTATACACAAATGGAAGGTGTGGATTTCCATTATACGTTTGCACCAGTGGCTAAACTTGTTACGGTTCGCACACTATTAGCAGTCGCGGTCAAGAAGAATTGGATTATACATCAACTCGATGTGAACAATGCGTTCTTACACGGCGACTTAGATGAAGATTTATACATGAAAATACCACAAGGTTTTGCCAAGAAAGATGAGACTAGGGTATGTAAACTCAAGAAATCGTTGTACGGGTTGAAGCAGACTTCCCGAAATTGGTACCACAAATTCACATATGCCCTTGATATGTGCATAATTAGTTAATTATTTAGCATACTTTTTTATTCATTTTTAACTAATCATGTGTATAATGTGGATAAAAGGTACTTAATAATGTTTAAATTTTGTTTTCAGTCCAAAAGACATGCATGGGAGTGAAAGGGAACAATGGGAAGCAATTAGAGACCAAAGAATGAAGAATGAGGGACAAAAGCTTTCCTACTCGGTGAGTTCTCGAGGCTACTCGGCGAGTACATTAGAATATTCCAGAAGATAAGTCAAGACTCCTGGTATAAGACGTATAACATGCATCTACTCAGCGAGTTGGGTCTGCTACTCACCGAGTACACCCAGTTTTGTGATAATTATAAATACCAAACCATTATCCAATTGGAAAAGACTTTTGGTGATTTTGAGAGCTAAACCTGCGAAAAAGAAGCCTTGGAGGAGCTAAGGAACCCTAACCTTCGATCCTTTGAAGAATCAAGGCAATTAGGTTAATCATTCCACTTAGCTTTAGGAATTAAGTACGTTTAGCTTACTTAAATCTATTTTTGAGTTTGTTTTTGTTATGACTATGAACTAAATTTGTTTTCTTTCTGTTGGGAAAGACTAATTTACTCCTATGGTTTAAAATATACTTTTTGATTGATTGTTATTTGGTGATCTTATTAAATTAAGTTTGTTAAAGAACCTTATGCATTAATAACAACTATTTTCTGTTAATTGGAAGGTAATTAAGCTGCATGAACATCTCTTAATTTTAACCTCATATGTTATGTGAACGCTTTATCATATGCTTAAGAGTAATGAATATGAAATTAAGATTAATTAGATAATGGGTAAATTAATGTGTGAGTTTGTTTGAGAAACCAACAAACAAGAGGTTAATTGAAACACCAACTTGATTAAACAATTACAAATCTTATTTAATCCAAACAATTGAACTAAGGAATTAATTAGTTTGAATTGATTAATTGTTCAAGGGTTGGGAGTAATGAACATGAACCTAACCACTATAGTTGGTAACCAATAATAATCAATTTATCATTTAAATAACCATAGGAGTGAATTAGTTGAACCTAAACAAAAACCCTTTAATAAATTTGGTATATTTGTCATTTGTTTTAATTGTTTAGTTAGTTAATTGTTTAAGTGCTATGTTTAAGTTTCTAATCTTGTAAAACTAGAGAAAAAATCATTTTACTTTTATTACTTGTTTAGTTAAAATTAGTTATTAGATTAATTTTCGTTCCCTGAGTTC